CAGAGCTATAATGTAACTTCACGGCAGCCTGGAAATGGATTAAAAGAAATAATAGTTTAAAAAAAAAAAAAAAAAAAAAAGATTACTTGTATCCTGAAATTCCTCTGGGACATGTTTCCTGAAAGTGTCCTCTACCCAGTGCCCTTAATCGACTCATAACTAAGAAACAGGAAAACAAATTGACCCTTATTGTTGTTGCAATCATTAAAAAAAAAAAAAAAAAAAAAGTAGCTATTTCAGCAGAGGTAAAGAAAGGACTATGATGCAGAACACAGATCATACATCTCAAAGAGCTCTTAAAGAGAGAATTCTGTCCCTTGATTGTCTGCAAGTCCTTTTCGCCTGGTGGACCGCAGTATGTTAAAATGAACGTAAGAAGGCATGCAAATTGCATCAAAGATCAAAAACAAACAGAGCCTTTTGTGTCAGGCATTTTAATGAAGGTGCTGAATAACCAAGAAATAGTGAACAAAACTATGCAAATTAAAAAAATACAGGAATTTTTTGGTAAGTTGGGGGGTGGGGAGGAAATAAAACAATTCATCAAAGCCAAAAAAGAAGCCATTAAATCTAATTACAACCAGTAACAAAAGTTCCATGTGATCAACTTACCTACTTCACATATCCATTTATGCCTTTTAACTTAATGCAGCCCAAATCTCATTTTTTGATGTAGGCTCCCTGTTTACTGAGTCTACTGATAAATTAGATAGGTGGAAGAATATTCTATATGGCTGCTTTGCAATTAAGCAAAAGGACCTTTCAACTTGCTTTTTTTTTTTTCCAATTTTTTTTTTTCCCTTAAAAAATGGGAGGAGATAATACAAAAATTTTCATTTCCATCAAATCCATTATCTTTCAGTTTAGGACATACATTATCATCATGGCAGATTAATAATAGTGGTCCAGTCATCAGGATCTATTATTCCCCTAGTCAATGTGCTGAGGTAATAGTCATTATAAAGACTTTCCCAGCCACATATGTCATCAGTTTCACTGGAGAGATTCATAATCCTGTTTAACAACACAGTAAGTTATCAGAAGGCAAAGACTCTTGCAATACTCTTAAAATGTATTTGACAAGGATGTGAAAATTGTGTTCCTGAATCTGTCAACTATATATAAAGATGCCTACCAGAAGAACAAATACAAACTGAAATGCTGCATGTGCATTCCTACTTTTTCTCCCCAAATATGTGTATGAAAGCACATCAATAATCCTTGAACTCCAAGTACAACTAAGGTACTGGGCAAAACTGGGCCTGATTCTTCCTCCTTTCCCTTCCTTACTCCTGCCATCTCTTCCCCAAATCCATCCTGTAGCCGTCTGTTCTTTGGCTATATTTTCAATCTTACATTGCTTCTAAGTGTGAGCAGAGAAAGCACAGTGCCACATCAGTTTGACTAGTTTATTGCAGCCATATTATTAGAGCAACTCCATTTCTACGGATTATCTTTTATTAAAGACCAGCTAGCTTGTGATTCTGGCGCCAAACATATGGTTTCAGCATCAGTAACAGTTCAGACAAAAAGATGACAAACAGCATTTATGACTGAGGAATGACCAGAAACATGGGCAGTCCTCACTGATGCTCTTCAGATTTATATGTGTAAGAGCATTTAGGGCCATTTCTAAACACAGTCAATAATTTGAAGCTACAGTTTAACAAGCTAATGCTTTCCCATCTACTGATTTGCTTTGCCTTTACTGCAGTCTCTTAGCTATTTTAACCCAAATTTTCCAACCTTCAGTGAAGAAGAAGTCTGATGAGGATGTGCTAGGCTGTGCTACTTTATCACTTCAGAAGGATCATCTTCTAAAATCTTTTTTTGAATGTAGGGGACACACTAAGTCACTGGAGTGCTTTCAGTCCACATATACCCTTTACTCAACTCTAAAAGAATAGGCATATTCTCCCTTTATTGACAAAAACTTCAAGGAAATAGATCTTTCATCTCAATCAAAAGAACAACAGGATGTGCCCCTATACACATACACAAACACGTAGCACAACAACAAGGACTCAGTATATGAACAAAGCTTGTTGTGGAACACTCAAGAAGTCAAGCCAACAATTTCCAAGGTTATCTTTGTCATGAAGATATCCTTATTTATTTGAAACCAGCATGTGTTTCAGTTGCCAGTATAATCAACCACATTTATTGACAAGCACGTTCAGTGGCAGGTTTTGAACGCAAGCCTGATAGGATATAAGATACAAAACTAGGGTTCAAATGCTTACATTCCACTCTTTAGTGAGACTGGTGTTTAAACAAAACAAAACAAAACAAAAAAAATCCATTAACAGCAATCATAAGTATTTTCTGCTTACTTCTTTGCAAGTTTGATAATTGAGAATATTTGCAGATTTGCAATTCTGTTGCTTTTTTCTTTTTTTTCCCCCCAAGGAATACAGCTATTTCAAGACCAATGCATGCAAAATATTCAAAAGTAGATGTCAATCATTAATGGATACACAAATTGAAGATGAAGCCCAGTATAGTTCTTAAGCTCCTGTGTTTAGCTTACTTTCAAACCATAGGAGATTAATCATATGAAAAATTGGTAACTGCCCTTTTGAGAAATTGTACTGTTTTCTGAAGGAGTAACTGGATGACTGCACGTATGTTTTAGAGCTTTTCACTAATTACTTGCATTCGCTTAGATACAAGAAAGTTTTGCCACCTCACATAAGCATTAACGGTGCCCTTGTAACTTGCTTTTCATCACAGGCTTGTCAAGCCATGCTAAATTAACATGGGTCAACAGATGTGTTAGGCTATACTAAAACAGATTTTCAGGTCACTTCTCTGAAGCCTTGTTTAGCACTCCTGGTTCCTTTCACATGCCCCAGAACGAACTTTCCCTGCGGCAGTCTTGGTGGTGCCAAGCAGCTCTGAAACATTCCTAAAGAATGTTATCTTGAAGAAATTGCCTGACTTCTGCTGTAGGGAGATACACAGCAAGTTAGGCAATGAAGAGGAATTACTGTAATAAAATTAATACAGGTTGCATTTTCCCCACCCCAAAGTAGTGTTTTCCAATAAATTACTTGCAAGCTTGCCTGATCACAAGTCTCAGTACACTACCGTAACTTCTAATGACTGCCAGGCTTTTTGGATTCTCTTGATGTGAACCAACAAACACTAAATTCAGGTATTAAGGCATTAAGTGGGGAAAAAAAAGGCGGTAACGGAACCCACACTGGGGTAGAGTATCAACATTTTTTCTCACGACTGATCTCTGTAGCATTTCAGGTTTTGTTTTCCAGTTAATCCTCCTGCAGACAGCCAGATTTAAGTCTGTGGAAGACATATTCACACTGTTCAACTTCACGACTTATATTATGCAAAAATACATTTAGGGACTTCAAATATGCATCAGGGATGAGAGATACCACAGCAGTATCATTTGAAGCTGTTCAAAGGTAACAAAATCATTTGCGTATCGACAGGTTACTGGACTGATCCTTTGTAGTTATCACAAATGCATCCTTTTGGATACTATAGAGAAATACTCTATTTGCTTACTAAAAACAAAACAAAACAAAAACAACCACCAAAAAAACCCCCAAAACCCCCAAACTTTACAATTGGGGTTAAAGAAGAAATGCAACTATAAAACACTACTGTTTCAGAAGATTGCTCTGAAACCTCTGAAAACAGCTAAAGAATACTACTGTACTGTTTAACATTTATGCTTGTACAACCCCTTGAAAGACAGATTTGACTTAACCAGAAGACCCTAAGTAAAAATCCCATAATCTTCTAGTCCTGAACATTTTACTTTTTACTGAAATTTTCCATTCTTGATCATAGTCCAAGGAAAACATTAATGTAGAGTTTGAGGCAAATAGTTTCTTCCCTATAATTAAAAATAGTTGAACTTAGATATTTTCTAAAACCTACACAACAGAAACTTTATCTTAATTATATCTTCAGTAAAGCTTGCACAACAGCTAGGGCAGAAAACAGAACTGAATCCACTTTCTATTAAATAAGAAACAACACTGAATTGTATCCCACTATGGTGTACAAAGTACATTTGCATAAATTTTATGAAGACTGCAAATGACAATGTAAGAATAAATGACAGTAATCCAAAAAAGGCTTAGAAAAATCTTCAAGCCGCAACATCAGTGATACGGATCCACCTCTGTGAAAACTCAGACATTAAAAATAATACATATTTTCATGCTAAATTATTATAGTTCTGTTGTTCTCTTTTGCTGTAGAGTTAACTGTTTCAGTTACTATCAGTTTAACTCCCCAGGCAAGGGAAGGCAAGGAAAATGGAGAAAGATTTGTCACTGTGGCTAAACTAAAAGGCTAAAGTAGCTTATTCATGCCAGAGTTCTGATTCATTAGATAGTCTATCACATAACTCAAAAGCTGAAGTGTGTGTTTCCTACTGAGAATCCAAAAATGCAGCAGCAGATTCACTTCTATTTCCAAAAACTTTTAAAAGTTAATTAGTTTTCATCAAATAAGCAATTATGACAAAGTAAGAATTTGAGTTACTCCTCTTCTCCCCAAAATAAAAGTCCTCTCCACATGCCATATTCCTCATTGTTCTAAGTTCTGGACCCTACACCACAAATCTACCAAAAAAATGGCCTTGGGCTACAAATCACTGTATGTGGAAAAAACACTATAGCGAAGAAGCTGAGAAAAGACTGTTAACCGTACCCATTTGAAGATAAATTAAAAACTTTAGGTTATGATTAAGTCCTACAGAAACTGGATTAAATGGTGGAGTGCACTGACACCACCTATCTTGTACATTTGTTCAGATTACTCACCATTTCCAATTCACTGCTACTTTTACTTTACTTTCGTGCGGAGGGAAGTAGCTCTAATCTCCAAAACCACTTTTCATGTATACAGATAACTGCTAACATTGATTGTTGTTACACTTTGGTTACAGTGAAACAAGAAAAAGGATATTGGAGTTAACTCCCAGTGTTGCAAGAGGGGAGAAAAACCTGAACACAAAAACCATGAGAGACCGCCTCCAAGAGTTTAAACTGAGAGCTAAGGAACTACAGATAGCTAGAGAAAACAACGGTGCAACTGTACAAGAAGAAGAGCAGGAGGAGTTTGAACAGCAGGCCATTATTTATGAAAAAGAGCCCATAACTGAAAGGCACTTGCATGAAATCCAGAAGCTTCAGAATGAAATTAATAATTTGGTGGAGGAAGTTCATAAATTCAGTCAACAACAAAAAAGCCTAGTATCTTCAATGAGAAGATTCAGTATTCTTAAAAAGGAATCTAACATAGCAAGAGAAATAAAAATTCAAGCAGAGCACATACGAAAATGTTTGGATGACCTGTCAAAAACAGTGAAAAAAGCTGAAAATGAACATGGGCCATCACGTGCCACAGTAAGAATTCTAGCTTCCCAGCACTCTTTCTTATCCCAGCGCTACCTAAATGCTATGCTCTCATACAACGATGCTATAACTGCTAAGCAAGAGAAATGCAGAACATTTATTGTCCGTCAGCTTGAAGTAGCTGGTAAAGAGGTATCTGAAGAAGAAGTCAATGACATGCTCCAACAAGGAAAATGGGAGATTTTCAATGAAAATCTACTCACTGAAGTCAAAATTACCAAAGCCCAGCTTTCAGAGATTGAACAGCGACACAAAGAACTAGTCAATCTGGAGAACCAGATCAAAGACTTAAAGGAACTTTATATCCAGATATCAGTTCTGGTGGAAGAGCAAGGGGAGATGATCAACAACATTGAAATCAGTATGAACAACACTCAAGAATACACTCAAATATCTAAAGAAAAATTTGGGCTTGCAGTCAAGTATCGAAAAAGAAACCCTTGCAAAGCAGTATGCTGCTGGTGTTGTCCATGCTGCAAATGACAAAAGAAAAGAACTGTTTGAAATAGCAATGGTTCCTATTTAGTAAACTGATCTTTTAAAGTAGTCTCAGGATCCCTCGATTGCTTCATTTTTCTTCCCATTTCTCCTTCCACACAGTTCTCAGGAAAAACTGCATCTGTTTTTCATGCAAACAGACTTAGAAGAATGCAAAGTGATCTTCATCTGTCCCTGAATTTTATGGTTTGCACAGAAACACATGAACTAAAGGAAAGGATCAAAGGACACAAGTGACACTTCTTTTGTTCTTCCATTCATAAGAAGCTAAACCAATGTGGCAACAAACCACCTGTGCTATTGGGAAGCATCGAAAATATTGTTAATCTCAAAGACAGGATTCGTAAGAGCAGCTTAGTTGCCTTTTATAAAATAATAATTAGTGGTTTTAATTGCCTTGTGCTTTTTTAGCACTCAGAAATTCAAATTCTAATTTTTTGGTTCAAATTCTAATATTTTTTTCAGGAATTGTTAGTAGCAATCCAGAACCTGATGCCTAAACCACACAAGAAGTCAGAAAACAATTACCAGGAGTGTTTCAATACTGCCTCTGCAAGAAAAGTTACTTACAGGCTTTCTTACCTACTTAACACCATGAAATAAGGCTCATGTTATAGTAGGACAGCATGCACTGTCTTATGGAATGCAAAACAGACATTGGGTTATTTATTTTAATAACATCATTCTGTATTTCTTACAGATAGGTGTTGAGCTGATACTTTCAGAACACATTAAAGATCACTAGCAGCAGCAGACTACGTCACCAAACCTACAGGGACATTTCTTAGCAGTCTGCTGAGAAGCCAAGCATTAGTAAACTGACATAGAGATATTTACATTATTCAACTATAGGCAGACCCCTAGCAGGTAAGGATAGGGGAATATCATATTTTATTACACAATGGTAACACATGTTCTTACTGCTGCCTAGCCTATCTAAGTATGCAGTTGCCTCTGCAGTCTCACTTTCGCTAGTACAAAAATGAAGGAAAAAGATATAACAAAAAATAGAACTCCTTATAAAAATGATCTCGAACCAGAGAATGATTTAGTTTGGAAGAAACTTCTGGGGGACATCCAGACCAACCTCTTGCTCAAATCAAGACAGGAATTTCCCTGGTTGCAGCTCTTGCCACCACTTCTCATCCTACCACCATGCCTCTGAGAAGATCCTTGTTCTGTTATCTCCACATCTTACTTGTAGACAGGAGGAAGATCCCTCCCTTAGTTTCTTCATCGTAAGTCCAAACAAATGCAGCTTTCAGACTCTTCTTATATGACACACGCTCCAATACCCGAGCAGTCTTGACTCACTATAGTATAATCAACATTTGTATTCGTGGTCTTCTTGTAGTGGAAAGTCCCGAACTGGACACGGTATAGGACATGCATTTATTTCTACCACTACAGGAGTGGCCAGAAGAACTAGTCGAGGGTTTCCAGAACGCTAAACGGTTCCATGAAATTCTGCGAATTGTAGAAGCCTAGGATCCTTACGTAGGTATGCAAGACAGATGCCTGAAGCAGTAAATATGAATACCTCCCCTGAGTACCTAAAACAGAGCAGCTAGCCATTGACTCAACCTGTCCCTGAAGATAACTTAGATGTTCTTTATGAAACGACTGAATTAGCAAGACAGAAAGTATACCACTGCTTTATTTTGCAGCAGCAGTTATTTCTGCAGTGAAGAAAAGCAAGCAGATGTGGAGTGCTTTTGCTTTCCATAGTCCCAATGGTGGGCTTCTGCCCTGTACTCAACCCCTTTTGGAACTGAATGAGAAATAGTGCTCTAATGCAATTTAACAGAAAAAACAATGCAACCAAGATAAAAAAGTTATTTCCAAAAAGAAAAGAAAAAACACCAAAACCAAAGACCAAACCAGGAATGTATTTCTGAACTCCTTTATGCTGTGCAAAGACACAATCAATACCACCATATCTGGATACAGTCAGGGAAGCTGAAGCAAATAGCACTGCAATTCTGCAAGACATTAAGTGAGCTAGATGTCTTTGATTTTTTTTCCACTAGATGCAATTAATCTACTATCGAAAGGGACTACCGAATTATTTTCACACTGTGATATTTATAAATAGTTGGATTCCTTCCATTCCAGCTTAAAATTGCTGCTGAAATTAACTGTTATCAAAGTACAATCAGAGGTCTGAACCTTAAAGTGAAAACAGATTGTTTACACAGTAGCAACAAAAAATTAAATTATATAATGACACCACTGATACTATTCCATTAAATAATCTCCCTTAACTGTTACATATATGGAAGCTACCTTTACTTTCCAAAGGCAGAGTAGAAACTAGCCAATAAGCAATACAGAGAAAAAAGTTGCTATGGCCAACATGTTCTTTTTTATATATATATGTATGTATGTATGTATGTATGTATGTAAACATCCATAATACACACAGAAATATGCACTACACAGAAACACCGCCCCACCTTCTTTTCCTGTTTTTACTTTTAGAAGAAAACAAAGGTACATAACAGATAGCCCTTTCCTTCTCTCCTGAGCCCTTAAAGAGAAAGGCATTACAGTACTTCTGTGAAGGATTATTGCAGCCAGCGCTGACGGAAGAGAAAATCAAAATACAACAAACACCACCTGTTTACACAGCATCCCCCATGCAGGAGTGTTCACACAAGCATCCTTATGTGAGAGAGAAATGTGTTCCTGGGATAGCCCTTCCTCCTCACAAAACAGATATATTTCTTTGAAGTAAACATGGTCTTGTTAAACAAGAGCTGTGCTTTAAATCCTGGAAGAAAACCCGAGTTTCACTAATACTCAGGAAGACAGCTACAGTATATATTTTTATATTATTATACACAAATAAGTAATTCAAGTAGTTTTCAGCTGTATATTGGTCAGAAAATGGCGAAACAGAAACATGCATGACATGCTGCAGAAGAACTGACAAGAGAGAAAACCAGAAAGACTTGTAGAAAGCTTCTTCTTAATACGAGTGTCGTGGTTTAACCCCACGCAGCCG